GAGGATTTGTTCAAGGCATAATATCGGATTATTCCTAAGTGGATTAGACTACGTACTTGAAATGAATGTGGAATAAAATCGATTTTTAAAATTTCGCTCTTTAAATCGATAGCCGATCTGTCATTAATGTGGTCCAGAGATCCGGTTCGCACGTCCAACTAAATGACACCCGCGGACAGCAACGCGCTAGAGTTCGGTCTATAATCCTCTCAGTAGCCGAAAGCAGACACTCCGTGAGGAAGGCTTCCAAACAAAAATAGAGTTATAAGAAACACTACTAGTTTCCTGCCTCTCGACATGACCGAAACGGATCCACTCCCAGGTCTGCAAAAACGAAAATTTTATCTTTTTCATTTTGGCTAGCCATCAGACAGCCTGTTTGATTAGTACAGTTGCCCTGCAAGTCGGATTCAAGGCTGTCAAGCGTATTCGCCGAAAATTTGATTATACTGCATCAGAAGTTATGCGCGATGGAACTAAAGCGCTGGGGACTGCAGAAATGTACGAAAAAACAGAAGCCAGTGTTGACTCGCGTGAATGCATCCCTGTTGATGGAAAAAAACCAGGGGCTGTTATTTTTGTTGTCGTGCAATAAGGTTTATTATGCTGTGTTTCTGCAGATGCCGTTTGTAGGGTCGGGAATCTTTTGGTAATTCGGTGACAACGCATATGTTCTATCACTTTTTTATTTAAATCAAGGGATTGACTTCAGGTCATCTCTGTGTCCTAGAGTAGTAATGTAGGTTCGGTCAAAATGTTTAATAAAAAGCGGGTAAAACTGAGAACTTTATTTATGTTGAGAACTAGGTCCTTTCGGGTGGACACTAAAGCTATCCGTTGGCGCTAGCAAATTCGTGAACTAAAAATTGGGTACGCTAGCTCGAAGCTGTCTTCATGCATATCGTTTCCTTGGGAATTAACCCTAAAAAGCCTATGGCAGTTTGAATTCAGGGTTCAGCAACTAAAACTTCCTTGTAATAAAATTTTCCTCTTTAAAGATAAAATTAGGACAAGATGACAATAACAAAGGGGCTTTGAGTGCTACTACCAGGATCTTAAGCCCTTCAAAACCCGGATATTTAGAAAAAACGTTCACAGCAAAGTAATTAGCTGGGCCAGGTAAGTTACTTCGTAAATAGACCGGCTTTGCCCCAACGAAATGGTCCGCATGCATTAGATTAATGGCTGTCGGCGGGACATCAGAATACATAAAACGATGGAATTAGCTTTTTTTTTTATCCCGCACGCACCCAGCTTGGTAACATTGCAAGTATGGAGGAAAAACAGGTTTAGAAAACTGTGCAGTCTGCTGTGGTTTCGAAAGCACATGCTGCAAATGTACATCAGATTGTAAGATAACAAAACTGTAATTATATGAAAACACATTGATCGCCTTATGCTAATTTATATAAAAATACAACACATGCATGAAAGTATATGAGTAGCGCAACAGGAAACAGGTGCTTTCGAAATATATTTTACAGAATGGTTTCTTTTCATGGAAGAGGCGATTAATTACTGAATAGTTATCAGAAAAGGATTCATTACAGTCGTTTTTTTTTTACCAGAATTGCGAAGTGCGGGTGAGCAGCCCTGTTTCGATTTAAACAAAAACCACATTCAAGCGTCAGACTACTGGGTCTCATGGTATTATTGCAAACATTAGGCAATTGGTCAGGAATTGTCTTCTATTGGAAATTAAACTTGCGTAATGTGCTTTCTGCTCCGTTTGTGTTTATGTTTACCCAGACATAAAACTGAGTTCCGGACGGTTATCTGCTAATATAACTACCGGCACATAATACCTCGGTTGTAGGGACAAAGTTATTCTGACTTCTAGGATATATTAACTGTGTATCCTTTCTGGTAGAAGTTCTCTGGAACACCGGGTTATAAAACGTCCATAAATTGTGCGTTATCTTCTATTGCTGCCACGTTAATTTTGATAATTGTGTTACATGCGTAACGCCCATGCTCTGTTCGTTTTATAAGAACCCGCTTCATAGGTTAGGCAGACTCTGCATCTGTGAGAATAATGTTCTTAATTTTTTTTCAGTTTTTTGAATCAGAGCGGAATATCACTGAGGACTATTCCTACGGCGCACTCCCCAAAGCAGAAATATTTAGATCCCCGCATGCAGTTTATCCTAGTTTGTTAGTTGTTAATGTGT